ATCCGCTCAAAATCCAGTCCCCTCCCTGAAAAAATAGGGAGACGGAGGTTTTTTTTTTTTTTTTTTTGACTTACCTAAAAATTTCCAGTGAACGCCTCTGTAATATCATTATAAATGTTGTAAAATCAGTTTTTCATATTATAGAAACCTCTTTACACAATATTTTCAATCTTTCTCTTTGATCCAATGCAGTTCCAAGTCTGTTGTTGACACTGATTTTTAAAATTACAGGCAGATGCCAGTTTCGCCATGCCTATCTAAATTTTTTTGGATTTATAATGTGTAAAAGACTAAACAGCTACTTAACAATAAATAACATGTTGCACTACTTGCAACTTGGCTTTAAATAAAATCATTCAACTAATCACGCTTTGACCTAGTAACTTGTGTAACTAATGCCTTTAATGCTGACTGTTTTATATTAGGAGTCATTAATCTGTCTAAAGCCTTTGACACAGTCAACCATGTCATTCTTGTAAAAAACTTAAACATTTTGGAGTAAAAAACAATAAGTTACTATGGCTTAATGAATCCTTATCAAACAGACAACAAAACATTCAATATGAAAATGTTAAAACGATAAAAAGTATAATAAAATGTGGTATTCCACGAGGCTTAATCTTAGGACCATTCCTGTTTTCTCTTTATATAAATAATATATTTCTTACCTCACAATCCTCTCAAAAATTCGAGATAACCTCTTTTAGTTGACCCAGAAAAACAAGATGTGGGGTTTGAAAGCCTTTGACTCTGTGATCACAAAAATGTAAAAGTTGAAATCAAAACATTATATCCAAAAAAATAATTCAATATTTAAATGTATTCCTATAAACAGCAATAGAGTAAATGGCAGCTTTTGACATTTCCACAGCATATATAATTGTATTGGTGTCCTTTTGTATGTGACGATCAAGGTACACTCACTATAAATTCCCATTTTTTAAGCCACAATAAAAATGCCCACTTTTGCAAAATCACATGAAACCGTCTGTTTTCTTTGCATGCACAAGGCAAAACGAGAGGTAACACCTTTAATAATTGAAAAAGTGAAGACATTTCTCCAATGAGATGTTGATTTTTAAGACTCAAGAGTTCCAAAAGGAATTTGTGAAGGATGCCGTTCAGCAATGAGGAGAAAAGATGAAGGCAAAGAAGTAAGCATACCACTGCCATTCAATTTTCAAGAAATTTATCCCAAAATTTCCACAAGAGAGCAAGCTTGCCAATGCCTCATCTGTTAAATTGGTTAACTCAAGCTCAATCAAAGGCATCCTTTGGAAAATTGGCGGAAGACTGAAAACGAAAAAAAGGGTGACCATAGAAATGGCAGAAGACTGAAAACGAAAAAAAGGGTAACCATAGATGCTCCAAATGCCTTGCAGTACTTGGCAAAGGTATGTCCCATCCTTGCAATAAATACACATTTCGGGAAAACATGTGGTTGCTTGCAGCGAAAGATAACAAAGTTTCTGACTAAATAGCTGCTACTGTTATTAGTCAAAAAGAGGCATCACCACATGGAACAATTCGCCTAAATCAAGCTCAAGGTGGACGACCGTTGGCATTGACACCAGGTAGATTTTTGCTATGCTCATAAATTTATTTTTAAACCTAAACACGATGTACTTAATTATAAATTTAAAATCTGATAGATTCTTCAAACTCTCGGCGGTTATTTGAGGCCCCTACAAGAGTGACAGCACAAGAGTGACTTGCCCAAATTCAGATCAATACAGGAATGTCAAACAATGGTATAAGAAAGCTAGCATCAACTCTTAATCAAGTATCACAGGTTAAAGTCACTGAACTCTAAGTTTCTTGAAATAGGAACCAATCTTGCAAGTTTTTTCACATATTCAAAGCTAGAAATCATGCAAGAGAAAGGATCAAAAGTCGAAATGGCAACAATTATTCACTGTAAAAATTTTTCTGAACTGCTGGAGCACATCCTTTTAGAAAGAAAAATATTTTCTGATCACATTGTCAAACTTGGAATAGATGGGGGAGCTGGATTTCTAAAATTTGGGGTTGTAGAAACATTACAACACTGCAAAGTTCGTTCTCCACCAAGCAAACGACTCCTGACAGTAAAGAGCTCCAAAGATAGTGGTTGCAATCAGCAACTTATTGTTGCTGTCTCTGAAGGAATGTCTGAAAACTATTCTAACCTCAAGAATCTTTTCTTCTTGATCAAAGCTGACTCAAAGAATTTTGTTGTATCTTGTGACTTGAAAGTTGCCAATATTCCATGTGGTCTTCAATCTCACGCTTCCATGCATCAATGCACATGGTGCACAGCTCTTTAAACTAACCTTGCTGAATGTGGAGACCTACGAACTTTTGGTTCCCTCAAAGCCTCTTTTCAAGCATTTGCTTCTGCTGGCAGTGATGTAAAAAATGCCAAGAATTATGGGAATGTCATCCATAAACCTATTCTTCATGCAGATGACACTAGTCTGGTTTTGTAAATTATCTCTCCCATGGAGCTTCATCTTTTGCTTGGGGTTATTAACCACCTCTACAAAATTCTCAAAACAGTCTGGCCTCCAACTGATGAGTGGGCAACTGCTTAACCTTCAGCCTTACCATAGAGATAATTTCATTGGAAATGATTGCCGCAAGCTTCTAAAAAATCTTGATCTTCTTCAACAGTTAGCCAAAGAGAAGGCAGCAGTTCATATTTTTCCACTTATTGATGCTCTGAGAAAGTTTGATGCTGTGGTTATTGCCTGCTTTGGAAAATGAACTGCAGTATGACTATACACAAAAAATTGAAATTTTCTAGCAATCGTTCTTGGCACTAACAGCAGGAAGTGTAACTCCAAAAGTTCATGCTGTGTTTTTTCACATCAAGGATTTCATTTCAAGAAAAATCACTTCTTTGGGTATTTACAGTGTGCAAAGCCGTGCACCATTAATTTCAAACTCATTGGCAAAGGTACAAGCGCCAAAAGCACCCAGAATATCTCAACTTCAAAAGTGTGTGACTGATTTTAACAGCAAGCACTTGTAAAAGAATCTGTAAACGTAATTTTTATTCAAAATGTATATTTATATTTAGTCTTGACTGTTGCTTAAAGAATTTTATGTTTATATGTGCTGTAAAAATGTCAAAAATTGGAATGCTGTCATTTACACTATTGATGTTGATAGTAATAAAATTAAATGTTGAATTATTTTCTTGGATATAATGTTTTGATTTCAACTTTTGCATTTTTGTGATCACAGAGTTAAGGGCTTTCAAACCCCACATCCTGTTTCTCTGGATCAGCTAAAAGAGGTTATCTCGAATTTTTGAGAGGAGTGCTCAAACTTATTAAATTTTATTTTGTTTGCCGATGACTCCAATCTGTTTTAGGATATTAAAATCTTCTTTAAAGTAGTTTGTTTGTAAATTCACACTTATTGTTAACAAAACTAAGTTTATTCTATTCCACAAACCAACAAAAGCAGAAACCTTCCATTAAAAATACCCAATATTAAGTTAATGATATAAATATTTTTAGACAATCATCTCTAAACTTTTTAGATGTTATTTCAAACGAAAATTTATCATGTAGAAATCAAGCATAAGAAAAATTTTAAAAAGACAATGATGTTTAAAGCATAACCATTTTCATATATGAGGTCTTTAAAAAATTTATATTTTTCCTTAATACATAGCTATTTAACTTACAGCAGTATTGAATGGGCAAGCACCAGCTACGCTTAATTAAAAAAATTATTCCAAACAAAAACATGCTTGTAGAATCGTATTTGGATCAACAAAAACTGTGCCTTGAGGCCACTTCTACGTAAACGCAATGCATGGAATGTGCTCAAAATCAACATGTTCCTAGTTATACAGTTTATTTATAAAATAAAGCATGCGATATTTATTTATTGAAGACAAATAAAATAAAAAAATACTTACAGTTTTATTTTTTAGAATTCATTTTATCGCTATTTTTAATTCCTTTAGCTTTAAACTAGTATCTTATCTCTCACTTTGGACTTGTATCAGCCAACGAATTATGAATGTTAATAAAATAATTTTAAAATGGCATTTTAAATGGTTTTATTTTTGATGCTAGATTTTTTTACTAATGCTTACAAAGTAATTATTGAATCTTTTTAATTGATTTTTATCTTTGTGCTCAATTTCATTTTTCGTTACTCTGCAAGGTAAAATAGCTACGATTTCTTTATTTTTAATGATAAACTTTACATTTTTAGATTTTATATTTCTAATATAAAGTTAGATTTAATTTATTTCTAGTATTTAATTATTTGATTTATAATTTATTATTATTAGATTTTCTTATTACTTGGAACTATAGTTACTTTAAATATTTTTTTTTATTTCCGTTTCCTTGTTGTTTCTTTGTTCTATTTTCTTTTTCGTTAAGCAATTCCTTATTCCTTATTAAACAGGGCTGGATGATTATCCTCTGCCAGGTCCTGTCAAAATGACAAATAAATAAACATTAAACCGAAAGTAAAAACAGTTAATGTAAAAATTAAAAATGTGTTAATGTTAAAATTTAACTTTTTTATGTTTTTTAATGGTGAAAATTTAGTGTTACATCATACTTTTGCAATGCTAGCGACCAAAAGCTAAAATTTCAGATAAAGTACATACATTGATCTTACTTTCAACTTCATGTCTTTCAACTTAGTAATATTGACGGTCAAACCAAAATTATATATAGCTATACTTTTTTTTTATCAATTATATTTTTCTAGAGCTATCTTATCATTGTAGGAAGTTTTAAACATTAAGCATTGTGCCTTGATTGTTTTAAAAAAAGTTTTAACAAAAATTCATTGTCTTTAACATTATGCGCTATAGTGAATCCTTATCAGCATTGTTTTAACTTTCAAATATAGAATATTACTGTAAATAAAACATTTGTGTTTTTCAAACTAATTAAAAATACATTCATTTTACTATTTATATGACACTATTTGTTTATGTTGTTTTTTTGTTTTTTGTAGTATTGTTTTGTTATTTTGAATAGATGACATCTAAAACTACTTTGTACCTATGCTTGAAAGCAAGAAGTGTTAATGATACAAAAGTAAAGAACGTTACTCAAAGTGCGTGGGTTCACCAGGGTAGTGACGACTTCCTGAAAATAGAAGTTTTGCAACCCTCTTGGGACCTTCCTTTATGGTTAAAAGCTACTTTGTTAACAATACTTATGATGCTTTCTGCAATGTTTTCAGGACTAAATTTAGGCCTAATGTCATTTGACTTAAATGAGTTGAAGATCATTAGCACTAGTAGTTCTATACAAAATCAGAAATATGCAAAAAAAATCATACCTGTACGACGCCATGGGAACTTCTTACTCTGCACTCTGTTGCTCGGAAATACGTTAGTTAATTCTACATTTACAATTATACTTGATAGCGTTACAAGTGGAATTGTGGCTGTTGTTGGGTCTACCCTCGGCATTGTTTTATTAGGAGAAATTATCCCACAAAGCATCTGCTCTCGGTATGGTCTAGCGGTTGGCGCTTATACAATTTATTTGACAAAACTATTCATGATAATTACGTTTCCTGTATCGTATCCAATAAGCAAAATTCTTGACCGAATTCTTGGCAAAGAATTGGGTAATGTCTATAATAAACAGCAGTTACTTGAAATGTTAAAACTGCAGCACGAATATGATGATTTAGAACAAGATGAAGTTGGTATTATTTCTGGTGCACTAAAATATAGAGAAAAGAAAGTGTGTCAAGTAATGACAGCGTTGGAAGACTGTTTTATGCTGGATGAAGAAGCTGTTTTAGACTTTAAAACAATGTCATCGATAATACGGTCTGGATACAGTCGTATTCCTATCTTTTCAACTCAGAGATCAAACATTGTTGCAATATTGTTTGTAAAAGATTTGGCATTTGTAGACCCAGATGATTGCATTCCATTACTAACTGTAATTAAATTCTACAACCATCCTGTGCACAAAGTATTTGATGACACAACACTTGACAAAATTCTTGAAGAATTTAAAAAAGGAACAACTCATATTTCCATTGTTATGAGAATTAAAGATGACGGGGAACGAGATCCATTTTATGAGTGCATAGGAATTGTTACTTTAGAAGATATAATTGAAGAAATTATACAAGCGGAAATTGTAGATGAAACAGATGTTTATGGTAAGTTTTTATAAAAATAGTTATTATTTTCATAATTTCAAACTCTTCATTAATGTATAAATACTTTTATGTTTAAGTTGACAATGTTTCCGGAAAAAAAGTGCAAAGAAAGAAATACCAATTAAATAACGATTTTTCGTTATTTTTATCAAATTCAAAAGAAACCAAGACAAAGATCAGTCCACAACTTTCTTTTGCTATCTATCAGTTTTTAAGCACAT